GACAAGATATACGCCGCGCTTTCCCTCCGTCTCTCGGTCAACCTGTGGATCTGACAGTCTCTATGCTGTCCCCGAATGACAATCACTCAGAGATCAGCGAGGCTTGACGCCAGCCGCAACAGTTTTCAAACTATGATATCCGCTGGGATCTGTCTCGAACATCGCGTAAATCTCTTTGATAGAATATCGCAAAATGCATAGCTACGAAAGCGATTCACCGGGACTCGAAGATGCTCGCTGCACTGGCTTGAAACCAATTTCAAGGTCAAGCTGTACTAAGGCGCAAAATTTCGACCACTAGCCTCCTCTTCTACAGCCCGCCCATATCGGCGCTTATTAACATGTGCGCCTATTCCAGCGCTTGGGACACCATATTTGAACGCCGGCGGCCTCTGGCGCACCCCACGTTGCACAGCATCCGAAGCCAATCAGATTTTCTTATCGTGCAATGCGCTGATCTAGATGCAACACTATGCAACAGCTCTGAAGATTCAGGTGAGTCATTCGCACGCTGCCGCAAATCAGGCGCCCGCCCTTCACTCTTTTTAATTTGACCTTCACCGACCGAACGACCAGTACCAACTATGAATCCTTGGGGACCAAATCCATGGGCGCCACAAGCGTTCTACCAGCAGCCCGGCTTTGTCCCACAACAAACAGGCTTCCCCGCATATTGGGGTCAGCCTGGATGGGCGCCTCAGAATCCTACCCCTGGTACGCTACTCAGACGTTATCATGCTGCATTTATTCACGTGTCGTTCTCTTCCAGGCTTCCACTCGACCAAGTACCCCAATCTCAACCCAATCCTCGCGTCCGATTCGACGCAGGTGAGGTACGATGTGCGTAAAAAAGCGCGAAACGAAATCTCGCAAGCGATATACGTGCCTCATAGAGGCCAATTCGCCACGACGCCTCCTGCCTCACACGTCCGCCTCATATGCAAAGCCTTCCCGTGGTCCATCGAAGTAATGTCGAACACCCCGGTCACGGTTGAGGGTGTCTGGGATGCGATCTGGGCTGCTGTGCGTCCATTATTTGTTTGATATCTTGCTGTTGTTGATTCCGTAAACCCGCTACAGCTTCAACAGCCTATAGTGGACTCGGAGTGGGGTATCATCGTTTCCGATAAAAAGTTGCGCGAGACCATTGAGAAGGCAGCCAAAAAGCGATCTGACTACGACGGCGAGCCGAAGTTTAAACGTATCGACTGGCTGGGCTCGAGCACCATCTTCAGAGGTTTGGACAAGATGCAAGACTTTGCGGAGCAGCGAGTATTGCCTGGCGTGACGGAGCCGTGTCTGGAGACGTGGGTCATCAAGCTTGGGACGTCGTGAGGATGTGTATCTGTACGGATTATACCTGTATTATTGTAACCCTTGATTCCCCTACTTACAGCATTTGCGTTTATGAGCTTGACAGAGATACATACTGTAGCTCAGATCTGCTTTGTTGTCTGGTGTGATTTCTGGAAGATTTTGATCGGCATATGCAAAAAATTTAGTGTCTGCTTGTCCTCCACGATGGTGTCCTTCCAGTCCGTTGCTCCTCATCGTCTCCCGCGACGTCAAGCTAAACATCCTTCTGCGTAGATGTCACGCCTGCCAAGACACGGTAAAGAAACCCAAGCTTGATCAACACTACAACCGCTGCTACGCCGGATTTGACTGCATCGACTGCTCAACGACCTTCAACTCCCCCGCAGAATTCAAAAAACACACGCAATGTATCAGCGAAGCTGAGAAATACGAAAAGTCTCTGTATAAGGGACCCAAAACTGGTGCCGCTGCTGCTACTGTGTGTCTGTTATCTTGGTATGATTGTTCAGGGTTGATGTAGCGTTGAAGGCAGGAGCCGACGGAAAGAGCACTTATCCCGCACGACCGCAGAGTAATCCGTATGGGGCTGGGCGCGGATGGTCGGGCGGCGCGCGGGGTGGACGTGGTGGGGGGAGAGGTGGGGGATGGGGCGGTTCACGGACGTCGGCGACTGGTGCGAATGATACGCCGTTAGGCACACCGACACGGACAACACCTCCGGTTCCCGTCGCTACCAGCGCTGCTGCCACTACAGAAGAACCTTCGACGCAAGAGAACGGGGATGCTTCGACTTCGTTGTCCAAGAAAGAGCGGAAAGCCCAGGAAAAGGCCGAGAAGGAGAAGGACAAGGAGGAGAAAAGGGAGAAGAAGCTGAAGGAGAGGAAGGAGAAAAAGGAGCAGAAAAGGGCAGTGGCTGCGGCCGAGGTAAGATTGCAAATTTTTTATCGCCCTCCGATGCTCAAGTCGATTATCATACAGTCCGCTATTGCGGCAATTATTGTGGACGATAAACCTACCGCCACGACAAACGCCGATCCCACAAAAAATCGCAAGGAACGGAGGAAAGAGGAATCGGAGGCCAAGAAAGCTGAAAAGGCAGCCGCCAAGCTTGCGAAGGCAAATGCTGCTGATGCATCGGATGCGCCTGGGGAATCTACGACACCGAAAAAGCGGAAACGCGATGCTGAAGACGAACCCGAAACGGTCGTGTCCTCGATACCCGAGTCCGAACCGGTGGAGAAGAAACGCAAGAAGGAGAAGAAGGAGAAGAAAAGCAAGGAGGTGGATGTCGTGGCGGAGGTGGAGAACGCTGCGCCTGTGGTCTCAGAAAAGAAGAAGCGGAAGAGGGAGGAGGGAGAGGCAATAGAGGTAACACCTGTCGATGAGCTGGTCGACAAGAAGCGAAAGAAGGATAAAAAGGCGAAGGAGGGCACGGTTGAGACTTCGGACGATGCACCGGTAGAGAAGAAGAAAGAGAAAAAGTCAAAGAGTCGCACAGAACTCGCCACTTGATTTGTTGTTCTCGCTCTTTGGATTATCATCGCTTTCGATTCACGCTACGTCTGATGGAGGAAAAATCATACATGGTTTCTAGTAAATCAATGAGGTTCATACAGATACAAGTTATTTTCTCGTCAGAGGGTATATTCCACGCACGCCACCAGAAATCAAAACGAGGTCGTCGAATCGACTTCGATGGTCGGCACGATAGAGGCAATGAACTTGAGGAATACGACGAGATAAAAGTCGACGCGCATGCCCTCGACGTCGTCGTCGCCTTCAGCGGAAGCCGCCGCCGCCCCTTTATCGTCCTTGCCATTCCCACTGGTCTTGCGCCCGAACCACTTCTTCTTGCCGCCGGCGTCCTTGGATGCGGGCCCCTTGCGTTGTGCGAGCTGTTCGGCGACGACACTGCTGTTCATGCGCTCGATGACCTTCTTCATGACGCTTGCGTGCTTGCAGGGGTGCACGGAGGCGGCCTGCAGAGAGGCAGAGTGGGGGAAAGGCTCAATCGTGACGGTTTTGAAGGCGTGGTCGGCGGACACGTCTTGGAAGATTTGGGGAGGGGTGAGGGGGGTGCGATTCTTGAGGAGAGTTAGAAACTGAGGATGAAGGTCGAGCTGGAAGTCTCACCTCATCGTACCCAAGCAACCAGATGCGAGGGGTCTGGTAATACTTGTCGTAGGTGATCATAACATCGTACGTTCGCACTTGGAGAAGATTGCCGTTTGCGACTTCCACTTGGCTGGGAGCAAGTTAGTGGTCCTCAAGAACAGATAACACACAACACACCCAGCATCAATGACATTGGACTTTGGTGCAACAGCGGCTGCATCATCTTCCTCCTCAAGACCTTCCTCTTCCATATCAGGGATATCGTCGAGATCAGGCGTCTCGTCGGCGCCACCCAACGAAAGGCTACCGACGCCCTGAGTGACGCCTGTCTCCGGTGCCGCGTCTAGGTCGGGAATATCGTCGATGGTGCCCGGATTGGCGGAATCTAAGTTGGACTTGCGACCGGTATGAGTCTCGACCCATTCGTCGGCTCCGGTGGAGTCGCCAAAAGACAACAAGCGTTCGGCATCCTCATCGGCGTCAGTGTAAGCTAGAGACGTTGCTCGGCGTAGACAGGGAACCCCTCGAGTGACCAGATATTGCTTGTCGGCGGGTAGGTAATCTTTGGCCTTGGATGGGTCGCCTGCTTCCCTGGCACACAGAGGGCTTGAGTATGTGGGGTCGCCTCGTGCAAAATGCGCCACACTAACCAGGTCCAGACGGGAAACTTGTACGCTAGGAAATCTCCTGCTGCGAGGAATTCCTCTGCAAACGTTGAGACGTCAATAACTAGAGACACTACCAACGCACCAGGGGTGATACGGCCGTGTTCTTTGAACTTGCTCTCTTTGAGAACCTGAGAGCGATTAGCAGACGATGAAACCCTAATTTAGCTACCTACAGGGCTCAGATATTCCCGTACGGACCAGAATTGTTGCTGGATAAGAATAAGCAATGGATACAGCGTAGAATCGAGGAGACCGACTGTAATGGCGTGCATTTGAGAACAAGACCCAGGAGTCGCCGATTCCGATCGATCCACCAACAATTCACGTAATTCAACTCTCCGCTTCCTCTCCTTCACACATCTTCTTACCCATGTACTTTTACATCCTCTACAAGTATAGCTTAGCTTCAGACATGTTAATGTGTGTCTGAACCTTATAATAGTTTAGGACGTCGACTCCGCGTCGGACGGTGCGGAAATGGCATCCCCAGACATCATTCCGACATGAACATCTCCCTCCCCCGTTCCTCTACCTGTTTTCCCCTCGGACTCAGTCTACATCCAAGCCCCGATGTCCCTCCAGGACCTGAACCTCCCTACTTGTTTATAAACTCGCGTTCAAGACGGTATCTGTGACAGTATATTACTCCCATCAAAATCAATGAAAATCAATGAAATCAATTCCCCCTCATCCCAACCATGTTCCCCCCAACCACAGACATCTACCCACGTCCACCCCACCCCTATGCACACCCTTCAACCCTCCCCTGCCGTAATACCCCGCACTTTCATCAAAAATCGTCGAAAACTCGATTTCTCGCTTGTTTTTGCTTTTCCTTGATTCCTTTTTGAAGATTTCAATTCTCCTGCACCTACCCAGCTTCTCATAGCTCGTATTAACGGTCCGATGGTGTAGTTGGTTATCACTTCTGTCTAACAAGTTTTCGGTTTCGGCATTCGCCGATACCAACTGTACCATCAGTCTTGTTCACAGGCGGTCCTCAGTTCGAACCTGGGTCGGATCAGCTTTTTGCGTTGCTGGGCACTTGGACAACCTTTTGACAACCCCTTGGATCAACTCGAAATCAGAGGTTCGAAGATTCGGAAGATCCTTGTCAACTCCCCGAAAATCTCAAAAAAAATGCATTCTACCGCCTGGAGGTCGTGGGGCACCTCGTTAGGCGTCCTATAGATGAGAAATTTACTCCTTCTCTAGTTGTGGTTGGGGGATCTTTGAGAAGTAAATAATTTCCCGATTGGGATGCATGGCGTTGAGTTACCGTTTTAGGATTTGGGCATCAACGTCCACACCAGCGGTCATTCAGCTGTGTGCTATGTCTCGAGCTCTCTCCAGCCATGGTACTGGTATCTCTATGGCTCAGCATGTCGAACACTTGAAAACGGCACTCGATGTGCCCAAAAGTGCAAATGCTGTGCAATTTGTTCCAGATGTGATGACCAACTACACCATCGGACATACATGACTTTTTTCCTCGTTCCAAAGTCTCCACGAATTACTTCCCACTAACAATGCTAACTTCACGGGCACTCATCTATTATGTGAGACGCATAAGAATCTCGCACAATTTAGGCAAGACATTGTGAAGCTCGAGCATCTCATCGTCACGACCAGCCCATTTGGACCCCAATAATTGTCCTTTGCGCATGCCTTTGCAACCGGGCATAGTATACACCACCGGGCGTGCTCATAAATCTGCAATTCCTATCTATATCTCGGAACATCATGAAGCAATAGCACCATTTACCACTTACCGTCGACTAAGACTTGAGTGGGTCTTCCTGTGATGCGTTTGGTCGCGGCGGACATTGCAAGTCGAAGGATCCGGCGTGGCAGGGCGCAGCGTTATGAAGCATATCCTCTAAGTATGGTTTCATTCCGGAACAATATAAAGCCCATTACTCGGATTAGGCCATTTCCGTTGACGAAAGGGGGGCAGAGTCGCAGACGCGAAGATACGACAGAGAGGCATACTCGTAACCGTGATTGCTAAGACTTCGAGTGGCACCGGTTCATGAATATCGTTTACACGACCCTGCTGTACCCAATTTCCTGCGCAGAATTCTGAAGTTGCGTGGACATTGGCGAATTGTCAAAGTTCAAGTCATAGACTAGCGTTGTCTTGAGGTATTCAATACAAGTCAAACAGCTTCAAGCGCAGACTTGAAGCAAAAAGTCACATAAGAGTCCACCAAAGTTCAATCGGGGGTCAGCTAGCGTGGTCACAGCGCCGATGTGGATTCTGAACAGTGGAAGTGGAAAAGAGTTCTCCATCAAAGAAGCTGTGCACCTGGCCTTGAACCAAATCCACCAGTCACTCTCAGAACTCTGCACGACGTGCATCCACGTATGCTCTGAATTCGCTGGACTGCGCCGTAACCAACCACTGTGGATGCCTACCGGACTCAGAACCAACCTTCGGCTGGTCCGAGAGCTTACATATGACAACCGGAAAGACTCGAGCGCTCGCATTGGACGAGTCGCAACGTCGCATGGCACGGTTCCGGTAAGAAACCCTTGGAATAATCCCTGTTACGTCTCGGAGCCGCCGCACATCGGGGTGTGCATCCGACATTCAAGTTTATGGGACCTTTTGCTACCCTTCGAGGCGCCGATACTAGGACTCCAGATCTACAAGTCCTGCGGGGAAACAGAAGAATCCACTTGTTCAACCAGATTCAACCTCAACCTCAAAAGGGGTCTACTGTACCGAGTGGAGCTGCTCCTGACTCGGACAACACTGAAACCTACTGCAACGTGGCAGCCGGTCACCGTTTCCTTGCTGTCTCTCAATTTTTTGCAATGTATGTATTCCGTGAATGATTGGCGACGACAGCGCCAAGCAGACTGACGACGTTCAGTTTCCGGTCGAGTTACCTACCGGTCGAGCGACAACCGGTAACCACCAGTTGAATCTCGTTCAACCCCATTTCAACCCTGTGCAATACGCTGTGGGAGGCTGGGAGTGCGTGAAGCAAGCAGCACACCCAGGCCATATACATACCGCATGGCTTTCTCGTGGGCATGGGCTTTCTATTCTATGGACTCAGTGCCGCCGGTCACGAACGTTCAAAAGTGTCGTATCCTCTCGTACACCCTCGTTGCCGTCCAATATACTCCTCCACCCGGTGGTTTCAGCTGTTTTGAATTGCTCCAGCTTTCCCGTCCCGCTTCCACAGATCTCGTTCACGTGTCTGTCCCACTCTTGTTCACTTCATCTCGTCCCGCCAATGAGGAGTCTACATCTTGTGATCAAGATACCACTTGTTTCGACGGCTCCACTGATCAGTATCCTTCAGATCCTCCTACTCCTCCAAAGCTGTATTTCTTCAAGTCTGCGGCGAGTTTGCTGAATACCTTTTTACCTCTGAATTTGCTTACCGCCGGCAACCAAGCGAGAAGCTTCCCGTCGCCCGAGCCGACCAAGTGTCACCAAGTATCGGACTTGCCAGCATTGGAAAGGCCGCACCCGTGATATCTCAAATAATCTAGCGAATGCATTGTAGATCCACCACCAATACGAAAGAAGCACAATCGAGATGATGACCACTGTTCCCTCCCAACCACATTTTCACGGCCCTAGCAACATCTCGGCCCTCGGCGTCTCCTGGATTCACACAAAAGGCGTCCTCAAACCCAACTCGTTCTCCATTACCCCAGGTTGAACCACATTCACCTTCACTCACTCACACTTCATTCAACAAGTTCTATTTCGTTGACTTGAACCATCTTTATAAAATGCGTTTTGCCGTCATCGCCGCTGTTATCGCCCTGTTCGCCACCTCCGCCGTCGCGGTCACCCCCGTCCAGGGTCGTTGCTACCCCGACTACTGCGTACGTCGTTTCTATGTCTCGGGCATGGCAATGTCTTACCTTGATTCGTATAGAACTGTGGCGAGAGCAGCTGCTCCCCTAGCAGCCCCGCCTGCTGCGCAGTAAGTTTTCGAAATCGCTGTTCCTTCTCTCTTGCTTGCTTCCTGCTTTCCACCAACTGACGTACTTCGTTTGCAGAACGGAAGCTGCCCCTGCTAAATTTCTGAACCGATGGCGGCACGCTTCTCTAATTAGTTGATGCTGTGGATTGTGTCAAGGATGTCTGCGGTAGCTACTATTGGAAGAAAGAAATGAATTTGTATCATGACATTTGGGCCCACCTTGAGTGACCTGAGAGTGCATCGCCGACCTACTACAGCCGCACAGAACCACGCTCTGAAACTCGTTCGACCTTGACGAAAGCACTCCCAATCGATCCCTGAACGCAAGCAATATGTTGTATTTTTTAGTATCAGTACGCATAAGCACCCTTCCCCTCGTTATCATTAAACCATATATCCTACCTAAATCGTATACCTAAACAACGGACTCTCACTACCCATATCCCGGTACTTCTCCCTCGTCTCCGCATCATTAACGATCCCATGCTGGGCGCAGTACGCCTCCCGTTTCTTGTTGATACGGCTGTAGTCCCACATGGCGAAAAAGCTGAGGAGGATGGAGAGGCCGAGCCAGCCCATGATGGTGCCGTGCCCGATGTGGAAGTATGGGGGCGTGATGTAGATGAAGGAGGAGCAGATGCTGGAGGGGATAGGGAGATTCGATGGTTTGAAACGTTAGAATGAGATGATTAGTGTGACTCACCCGCCAAGGTTTCCGAGACCGATGACCATGGCTAATACCACGCCTACAAGGCAGATTAGCAGATGTACAAGAATGAAGCGTAATGGAATAGAGACCAACCTTTCCGAACGTCACCGCCGGCTATACTTCCAGCCCAAGCGAGATCTAACACAGGGCTCGTTAATAATGCATCCACTACATTCAATTGAAGAGCGAAAGACCCACCAACAGCGATAGTTGGGTACACCCCAACCGCAGATAATACCGCGCCCGCATACGCAGCCCCGGGCGCTCTCTGGGTATACAGCACGATATACCCAATCAGGGATACGAAAGCCCTACAGAAGGATCAACGATCAGTCTCGGAACCCCAACAAAGTAGACCAGAGATCAAAAACAAGAATACGTACATCCCAATAATGAACGGCCCTCGAAGGTGATACCTATCCGAAAGCAATCCCACTCCGATCGTCGCGATGCATCCGCAGACGAAGGGCGGAATCGTGAGCAACTGTGCCCGCGCGGCGGAGTAGCCGAGCTGGTTGACGATAGTTGGGGTGAACAGGGCGATGGCGTACACTGGGATGAGTAAACCCTGTATCAATCAAGTCAAGTCAGGCGCCGGTTTCACGCTTGCATCGACACCACCGTACCATGTATATGCCGATTTGGACGTAAGTCTTGTAGTCCAACATCGCTTGCCAGACGAACTTGTGGTCGTAGTGCGTGGCGAGGTTTTGTTGGTCTTCTTTCAGCATGTAGACGACTTGCGCGCGTTCCGTTTCGGTGAGGAAGGTGGCGGTTTCTGGGTACTGGAGGATTGTCGATAAATGAGAAAGGTATGAAATGATTTGAGGATGGATATACATACATCGTGCATGTAGAAGAAGGATGCGAGAGCCACGAGTACAGTGACGATTCCTTCCAGACAGAACTGCACAGGTTGTTAGCACTCATACAGACATTTAGTTCGCTGATGAGCGAACACTCACAATCCATTGCCAGCCATGAAGATTGCCGACACCCTCCATCTTTTCGATCCCAAATCTAGGTGCACAATGAGATGCTCAAATATTATCTATGGATTGACCAGTCTACTTACGCAAGGATTCCACCGAATGCTCCAGCAATTGTGGCTGCGGAGAAAAAGATTGCGACGCGAGCCGCTACATCGCGTCGGCGATACCATAGGGAAAGATAGAAGGTGATCTAGGTATGGAATAAGTATGAAAACTGTATCGCGAACAAACGACGCACTCCAGGGAAGAGTCCGGCCTCTGCTAAACCGAGGAATATTCGAGCGCTGATGATTCAGTCAAAAATGCCGACCCAAGTCAAGAGAGATAGCATTTCGTACATGATAAGGTCATGATAGTTCTTGCATAGAGA